GAGAAATGTTTGACAACGCAACTTAATCAACTTTCAAACAACAAAAAAAAGGTACAGTCTTGGGTTGAATTTCTAAGAGGCACACTATGCAGTACTGAACATACTAAACAATACTATCATTTGCTGACCCATTAGTTCTCCAGGCCTTGTGTTTGGGCTTTGGAAATGGTATATTATTTAGTATTTACAGTAACTCTGTAAATATTATTTACCCCATTTTGTACATATGAAACTGAGGTTTAGAAAAGCTAAGAACCTTACCCAAAGCCACAACAGTAAATGGGATTAAAACCTTCATATGTCTGACACCAAATACCATGCCCTATTAAAATTATGTACTACTAAATTATAAAAAATGCTAAATTAGCTAAAAATAAACATTTAAATCCTACAAAACATCAAATGTTCGTAAAACAATATTTGAGATTAAACATACTAGATTTAAACCTTTTCTTTTTCCAAGTGAAGAGCTCTAACCTAATTTCATTCCCATAATTTTGATTTCATGAACTCACTACTTTCAACAAATCAGTTTTCTTATAGCTCTCTGATGATGTAAAATTTCATGCCCACATTTATTTTTATGCATGCTGTTTCTCCTACTCAGATATCCTATTTAATTAACTGTACTTTCTTAAAATTCCAACTCATTATTTAGTAATTGGCACAAATGAACTTTCCCTTCTCTGACTTTTCACTGCAACTAAATATTACATAGATACCTGCATAATTCTGAGAATTCTGTACACCTGTTTATCTTGCTTAATTTCTAGATTCAAATCCTTGTTTCACCACTTAACACCATAGTTTTTAACCAGAACAGAATCACCTGAGCCCACAATGGGACAATTCTGAATTACTAAGTCTGGGACAATGTATTTGTAAAAGTAATTTTGCACACTCCCTTCCTATCCCTACTCTCTGAGACCTGAAAATTGTACATGTTATTTTATACTGTTTAGACCCATTTTCTTCTCTTCAAAATAAGGATAAGACTCTACCAGATTATATCTTGGACTATATGAGGTTTCATATAATCTATAAGCCTAGCTAGCATTGTATCTGGCACATAGCAAGGGCTTAACAAATGTTAGTTCAGGTATTTGGCAAGAAACTCCATCTTTTTTTTTCTATTCCTTTTGTATACAATACCTAAGATACTAATAAGCATATAGCACTAACTTAATTACTTGGTGACATGACATTCATACCCGTCTCTTTTGTGCTTTTGATATCCGAGGTGGCTGATTCTCAAGAACCAAGTTTGAAATGTTAACAGCAACAGAATCTATCTGAAGGAAACAAAAGCATTACCAAGTTAATGGAAAATACTTTAAAGTTCTTCAAGTATTAGATTATTAAATTGAAAATCACAAAGAAAGAAAATCACCAATATGTATAATACAACAATTCAAATTTGAATAACAGTACTAGGTACAATATTACATGACATGGTTTTTCTTTTTCTATTTTTAAGGGAGAATTTGTCAGAGTCCCACAAAGTTTCCTTAAAGCTCTCCAAATGCTCATCCCTGCAGGCTTTCCTTCCTTCTTGAAATTCCTATTTCATTAATCTAAATACTTCCTGTAAGTGCCAACTTACACTCAGTCATTGAGCAGTTCACCTTTTCCTTCTCTAAAGGCTGACAGTACTTATAGGATATGTAAGGTCCTGTGCTAAGGTGCCTGAGTGGCTACTTTGGTTAAGTGTCAGCCCCTTGATCTCGGCTCAGGTCATAATGTCCAGCTCCGCACTCAGTGGGGAGTCGGCTTGTCCCTCTCTCTGCGTGCATGATGTCCAGCTCATATTCTCTCTTTCTTAAATAAATAAATAAAATCTTAAAAAAAAACAAAAACAAAAACAAAATAAGGTCCTGTGCCGGATCAGTTCACTACCGCCTTCATAACCTCAAATGTGGCAGGAAAGCCCTTTCTCCATCTCAATTAGCCAGAACCTAATGAACACTGTTGAGCCTTCTCTATCCTCTTCCATCTACAAACTGATAACTACAGGTAGAAAAGTTAATGTTTTGTTCAGATGCCATAACCAATCTTTATCACCAAATGGCTATCATGTGTTTGCTGAAGTAAGAAGAAAGATGCTAGACTAATGATCAGTGTTAGTACTAGTACTTTATTACTGCAAATGTAACTTAAATTAAGTTTTTGGTATAACAAATGCATAAAGCATACAGAGGACTCTAATAACAAAAGAGATAGCAGTCTCCAAGGCTATACCCAAATTATCAAAATATGAAAACCAGATTAAGACTTCAAAGAGTGGTTACAGCAACTTTAATAAAATTAGCATTCTTGTATTTTTCACAGGAATCTGCTAAAATCTACAAACTGCCATACTGACAATAGGCAAGATACAGAGAAGTATCTGGAAAGCAATGACATGAGAATTCAGATAGTGTTCAGAAAGAAAACAAGCTTAAGTTAATGAAAAAGATAATAGCCCAAAGTAAAATGGGAGTTTGTATTTTAACAGTTGAAGAATATGTTCAAAGAAATCTTTGAGAAGAATTCAATGAGAAAGAAATCTCAAAACTGAAAGGTGGAAAGCAAATAAAACTATATCACTAATAGAAAAGATGGGGAGATAGTTAGGAATACCATGATTGTAACAACACAATTAAATATCTGGAGAATCGTGCCTTGCTACTTGGAAATAAAATATGTTAAGGCACAGGTCAGGATCTTAATGACTAGCTAATAAGGCTAAAGAAAATGAGACCATGTTTAATACACTGACCACTGTAAATCAGTACAGACAAGTTGTTTTCACTATCAACAGTAGACCAAAAATAAACCAAGTAAAATTAACTTACGGTAGATAAAATTTTATCCAGCCATAAGAACCTTCTATCAAAAATGGAGTAAGATTATGGACTCTGTGATCCCAGATATCCAAACCCATGTGATAAACCACCATACCACACAAAGTTTTAACAGAATTCAGATTCACATCCTGGAGTAAGACAGTCCTGATTCTGAATTCTGGCTTTGGCATTTAATAGCTGTTATGAATTCAGAAAGAAATTCTTAATCCCTGAGTCTATTTCTCTCTTGAAAAATGAGATTATCTACATTTATTTCATGGGTAATACCTCATAGTGTGTTACTAAGAAAAATCACATGAGAATAATGCACATGCTATCTTAAAGCATTTGGCACACTATTAGCTGAAATGATAAAATAACTATTTGTTTAAAAAAGACAGTATGCTCTACTTTACCCAAGAAACAAAGTAAATTTTCATATAACCTGAACATGACTTCATATTTGCTGTCCCACTTGATTCTTATAGAATCTTGTGCTAAAATGCTAAAGTATTTGTATCATATTATAAGTGGAGAATTTTATGCTTAGGAAGTAACTTAACCAAGTTAGCCATACTATTTAATGGCAATTCTGGGGCTAGAAGTCTGATCTTCCAACTTTCACTTGGTGAAGATTCCTCTGGTCCACTTTTCAATCGGTTAATTTTGGGGGCAAGTACATAGTTGAAGTGTACGTTTTTTGCTCCCTTACAAAAACACATTACCAAGTAAACCTTGTCACAGAAATATTAATGAAAGGTAATGCATGAGCATGAGTTTGTAACGTCCTTTCCCTCTAATTTTATGATTTCACATAGTGAACAGTTTCTTAGAGGTGGACAGTAGCTTTCAGATGCTGTAGGCAAAGAGAAACATCACTTTACATACTTTACTTTCCTTAGAATTCAGCTTCAGTTGCTCCAATTCCTCCTTATGTTTCTGTTCCATTTCTGCTTCCAACTTAGCAACATCTTCAGTGAGTTGCTTCCTCCTCCTTTTGTCATTCTTGGGAACAGCATTTTTCATACCCTGAATTTTGGCTGAAAATCCACCAAAAATCATTAAGTCAACAACCCAGAGATTGAGAGGAAATGAGAAATAGGGACAATAAGGGGATGGTAAGGGGAGAAGGGTGTACACAAGTACTGCAAGCCAAGTACAGTAATTACATAACAATCAGACATTTACAGAGAAGAGCCCAGATGAGGGAGAGAGCACCTCCCCCCCCCAAAAAAAAGAAAAAAAAATCCTCATTAACAAAACATACGTCTGTTTAGTGTGATACAAGTGGGGAAAAAAAAGGAGACTCTAGTTTTAAATCTCTCAAGCATCCTTTTGAGTCCTCAAAATCGAGGTGAGGTATTTCAAAACGCGTCCATTAGCGCCCAGTATCAGTAACTGCTTAGGAATAGGAAAGGGAGAGAGGGGAGGGGGTGAACAATCTGGGCCCAACACTAAATTCTCAGACTCCAGCACCCGGCGGTGGCATGGGGTAGCGGGGACGCGGTGGACCTGAGAAAAGGAAGCTTCTGAAGATTCGGCGGATTAAGGGACCATCGGGCCAGGGGATTTAGAAGGGGTGAGACCACTGGCTACTTTGGGAAAGTCTAAGAAGATCCAGATCAGAAGCCTCTCGAGATTCCGCAGAACCGACCCGCCACGCGCCCTTTCCTGGGTCCGAGAGACTTCTAGGTTCCCATTCCCTCGTCACCTTGCAACTCCTTCTTCTCTTTGCGATGCCTTCTCACTAGCTGCTCCTCCTCATCAAGCTCCTCCGCTAAGACTGCCTCCATGACGACCAGGTAGCCTTGCACATGCGCTGGTAGAAACCTGCGCCACCGGTTACCCGGCACTTTCCACCCCTCAACCTTCACCTGGGGTGCCATTGGCCGTGCCTGGAACCCAGGCCCGCCTTCGAGGCGGTACCGGATCTAAGCCGAATCATTGGACCGAAGGGAAAGGAGATGGGATGAACGCATGCGCACTCTCAATGACCCCCAGCTCGGATGAGGCGGGAGAAGAGCGACGGCGCGTGGGGGTGTGGCCTGGCCCAATGGAGTTTGCTGCCTCGCGATTGGTTAGCGCCCTATAGCCCCTCCCCTCAATAAAGCTAAGCATCTGGCTATTGGCTCTGACGTGAGGCGCGCAGTGATGACGTGACGGAAGCCATTTTGGACATTCGTTTTATTTTGTGAGGTGCTTCGGCAAGCTTCTTTTAATCTTTACTTTTGGTCACGTTGCGAAGGAGAGTTATTCGAAAGGTAAGTGAGAGGAAGAAAACATTTGAATAAGACTGTTGATAATTACCAATGGGAATTTTTGGGCTGACTCAAACAGTAGGAAATTAAGTTTTGTTTATTGTTTTAAAGGTCGAAATAACTGAGTTCGGGAGACAGTTTATAATCGAGAAAATGCCGCCTCTTGAAACGGATATAGCAGTGGAAGCCGGAGAGAGAGTAAGATTTGACTATCGTATAACACAGGAGCTTAAAGATCTGTGTTCAGTAATAAAGCAGCTAATGTCAGAGCGGCTTAGAAGTATCAGGGAGTTGAAAGAGATAGCGGAAATGTGCAAGCCTGATCAGTCACAAAATCGAATTGCCGAAGTAAATGCAAAACAAGAGAAACCGCATGCAGGAAAAGAGGAAAAGTAGAAGAGATTAGAAGCGAAATCTACAGCATCGGTTCAGTAGATACACATAATAGGAATACCTGAAACAGAAGACAAAGCAAATGAAGCTGAAACAATAAGGGACTAATTGAAGAAAATTTTCCAAATTCGAAGAACAAGCTAAATCTGCAAATAGAAAAGGTTAATAGAGTACCAGTAAAACAACGAAAAGAAAGCAACACCTACACATATCCTATTGACGTTTTTAAATTGGAAGGATAAAGAAGAAAAATTCTACGAGTATTCAGAGAAAGCAGGTTAAACTATAAGGGATAAAAGTCAGACTGTCCCGATTTTTCTCTTTCAGCTCTAAATGCCGAAAGGCAAGGGAGCAATATCTCTAGTTTTAAGGGAAAATGATTTTGAGCCAAGAGTTCTATATCCTGCCAAGTTACGGTTTATATATGAAGGCAACTGGAGGACGTTCCCAGATATGCAGGAGTTAAAAGAGTATTTTTTCTTTATTTGTTAAATGCTGTTACTACAGCCCGCAAAAACAAGTAGTGAGGCAGTTGTAAGGAAAAAAATGTCGGGTAAACATTAAAGCTAGTTAAATATCATTAAGATTAAATTGTTATGTGTAGGGTTATGAAACTGAATGCAAAGATAAATTCTTAAGTTGGGTGTCTAATTTCAGTTTGTCTTGTTTTAGACTGAAAAGATGTGCTAAATGTTCAATTTAGAGAATAAGTACTGTTTTTAGTATGTAATGTGGATAAAAGTATGCATGCTCTACAGCTACAAAATAAAAGGGCTTTGTCACTGTGGTGGAAAGGACACCTAGAGTAAAGGCATTCCAAGTGTTAATCTGATAAAATGGGAAGTTGGTACAGTTTTGTGTCCTTTATTTCTAATTATAGAGTGGGGAAAGTTTGTTTATAATGTTAATATTGACAGTGTAAAGAGAAAATTTCTAAATCCCTGACTGGGGAGGTGGTAGATGAAAGCATTGTTTTATGTACATCTTGCCTTGGGAAAACCAGTAGTAACTGCTTCATGTAGTAGTTCATTCTAAGTAAATTTGACAATGAGATAAGTGTTACAGATAAAATTAGAAAATATACCAATTTTATGAATTGGAAAAGAAGTGGTGAAAAAACAAAGCAAGGAAACATTAAAATTAGCGTAAAATAGATTAACAGAGATACAGGTGAATTATCACACTCATAAACGGACTAAGTACCCCTGTTAAAAAGATTCAAATTGGCTCAAAAATCAGTCTCTGAACCTGGATCTTCACATTTGGATAAAACAAAGGATAAAGGGGTTTAAAGATAATGAAAACTGTTAAGTCATAGAAATTGAACTAGGGAACAACATTTTTATCAGAATTTAAGCTGTAACAAAATATAAAACAGTGGGATGTAACATTTAAGAAGCTTTATGTGGTAAATAAGACGGCATTCATCTGTAAAATGTTCACTGTCTTGATGTGAGTGGTAGTTTTACTGATGTATACATAGTTTTTAAAATAAGTGTATTTCAAGTACTCAATAAAGTAATTCTTAATTCATTTACATATGGCAGTACATATATTGGACATTGACTTCAACACTTCCAGTCTTTAGTAAAATAAATGAAAAGGAATACACTAATTAGGAGTGTGTGTGTATAATATGTATTACTTTGCTCCTTTTGCATTCTTTTCAAATTATCCTGAAACATTTCTAAATGATCTTGTACTAGAATACAGAGAAAACTTCAATCCAAGAGCACATTGCACAAATGACTACATTGCAAGAAAGCTTAGAAACTAAGTTTAAAAGCTGAAAAGTCATTCTTGGAATTTTGGAATGTTCTTAAATACCTTGGGTTAAAGAAAATTTTAACAAAGACTTGTAATTTAGGAAATGGTACAATAAGGATATTATACATTATATGTCATGGACTGAATGTACAAAAGGCAAGAAATAGAAAACATTTAAGTGACGAATGGCATATGCCCCTAAGATAGACTTACTAATTGGAATTTGTTAATTTTGTTACCTTCTTTTTTTTTTTTTTTAAGATTTTATTTATTTGACAGAGAGAGATCACAAGTAGACAGAGAGGCAGGCAGAGAGAGAGAGAGAGAGGGGAGGGGGAAGCAGGCCCCCTGCTGAGCAGAGAGCCTGATGCGGGACTCGATCCCAGGACCCTGAGATCATGACCCGAGCCGAAGGCAGCGGCTTAACCCACTGAGCCACCCAGGCGCCCCAATTTTGTTACATTCTAAGTAGTGGGTTTTCTCCAATATAAGTGGCACTCTAATAACAGTGCCAAATAGTGCCACAATTAACATTTTGGTGACAGATTTCTCCCAACTGAGTTTTAACATAAGTTCTAAACAGCTCATTTTCGAAGAGGGAGAAGCCAAAGTCTTCTCACCACTACAACCCCCATACACACACACACGTTTTGTTGTCTCTTTCTTAGACCTCCATGTAATATTTCTTGCAGTGTGGTTTTTATACGGAAATTATGCTCCTCAGAAAAGCAGTATCAGCATTACCTAGGAGCTTATTAGAAATTATCTCAGGTTAATAGCAGCATGGGATTAGATTATAAAATACATTAAACATCTATAAACTTTCTTACTGAACATAATGCATTGTACATTATGAATGCTTAATAAATGTTAAATAGCATTAGAATCTAGAAATAATTTTGCTGAAACAGTGTTACTATATAAAAGTTCTTGCATTTGAATTATAAGTCCTTCCCCCCCCCCCAAATATTTCAGGGTAAGACCAGTACTTCTGTTTTCCTCCTGTCTTGAAAATTTATAAAGTTGGGACATGGAAATTTCAAGTTGAACAATCCAAATTTAGAAATGTTGAAGTATAGCATGGCAAATGGTAAAAGAATGAGCCTCTCTAATAATAGTAATAGGTCTCTCTAGTGAATAAAATAACCTTGGGGTGGATTTAAATTCAAGTTGTGCAGATAGTTCAAGATTTCTGGAAGAAATCAAAGATTTATAAAAGCTGTAAAGGGCCTTTATTTAACTATAGAATTGGTGACAAGTGATAAATAGAAGTATTACAGCAATTGAAACAGCAGCTCTAGTAAATTATAGACAGGACTTTTTTTGGATTCTCTAATGTTGAACTCCCCTGAAGATGATAACATTCTTGTATTAGTAAGTGGGCTAGAATATGCTAACCAGTTGCCTGAAGATGTATTAAGATGCAGATAATACAACAACATATTTGGGATAAAGCTGAGATTGTATTTTTTTTTTTTTTTTAAGATTTTACTATTTGACAGAGGTCACAAGTAGGCAGAGAGGGAGGGGGGAAGCAGGGAAGCTGAGCAGAGAGCTTAATGCAACCCCATCCCAGGACCCTGAGATCATGACCTGAGCTGAAGGCAGAGGCTTTAACCCACTGAGCCACCCAGGTGCCCCTTGAGATTGTATTTCTTAAAAGCTCCCATGTATTGATCCTGCCAGTCTGGACACACTTTCAAGTAGAAAAATAAGACCTTCACTGTTGTCTACTAACCATGAAAGTGAGGCTCAAAAAGTAATTGGCTTAAGGCTGCATAGTAAGTATTAGCCAAATCTGATTTCAAGACTATAATTTTGTCATCTACGTAATCCTACCTCATCCACACTACAGCACCTACTTAGAAGATTGTTGTGAAGATAAACTTGTAGTTTATATGATAAGGAAGAATGCTTATTACTTCAGTTAAGGTACATACCCAGAAAACAATGGCTTATGGAGGGAAAAATGAGTTTTGTTTGTAACATACTGATCATGATTTGTGATGGGAATTTGGGATAAGTCAGGTATTTGGAAATACAGGTTTGAGTTTTCTGATTTGAAAACAGTATTTGGGGGCATGAGGAATCACCCTGGAAAGGATGATAGGAGAAAGGAAAGGAGATTAAAGTTTAAGGGATACCTGTATTTGATGGGTAGGTATTACAGTGAAATAGAAGATTGAGATTTATAGTTCCAGTTGAATTTAACATAAAAAACAACACACACTGTAGTCAGCCCTATACTTAGTGATGGGTAATAAGGAGTATGGGACTTTTGTCTTTGTACCAAAATGTTTTTAATTTGTAATTTTCAAACTTTTAAAAATACAATGGCACACCATTATTCTAAATATTCTAATACGTAGTTCACTGCAACATAGTCGATTTTTGTTTCCAGCAGTTACTCCTATAAAGTCGCACTGAATTAGCGAATACTGTATCCTAGCATGTGGGGGAAAGATAGGATTAGGTTCCTGTGAACCTCTGGTCACATTATTTTCATGAACTTATCTATACATAACCTTGTTTGAAGATACTTTATTTAATATCTGTTGTTGATTCACCAACATTAAACTCATAGCCAACAGCACTGTAATACGTGGCCTGAGCAAATCTTACTTAACATACTTTCTCTGTAAGGCACATCAGAGCCCTGAACTTAGGAACATACACTAGCCAGCCCTATTCTTGGACCATTTTAAAAAGCAAGATCACCAACAAAAAGCACAAATATGTGAAAAGTATATCATGAAAAGGGCACTTGTTTGCAGCATGAGAGCTGAGACCAGAAGACTGTCACCTTGTCTCACTTCATCTGGGCCCATGCATGTAAGAAGTCTCAAACGTGCTGCTACTCTGCACATGTACATGCCCATGAAAGCATCATAAGTATTGATTTGGGGGTTTTCTATTAAATTTTAGGAAACAAATTCACATACATAACTTGCAGAAAATGAATATGGACTATAATCCAATGTTTTTTTTTTTTTTTAAGGATTTCCAACTGGAATTGGGAAGCTACATTTACACCAAAAGCCAAACACTGATCAGACCTCCACAGAATTAAGGATCACTGCAATGGTCCTGAAAGACTTGTACGTGATCACCATGAACACAGTGGTTTTTGCTGCTTTCCTTTCTGTTGGCCCTGAGCCAGCAGGTCTGGATTCCTAACAGCAGTTACTTTGCTGTTTTGTCTGGGACAGCAAGAGGAGAATGTTCCCAATATGGAACAGAGACAGGTTGAAATCTAGACTCTCTGTCCCAAATATTAATTTCAAAGAACTCTTAACAAGACTTAAATGATGATATAAATCTATATGCCAAAAAAGTGCAAAAAAATTTGAGGGTTTGTGTTTTTCATTTGACCATACTGCATAACAGAGATACCATGCAACCAATTACGAAATGAGATTGCTGTTCAAGGTCACATCACCCAGCTGCAAAGCTCATAAGGGTTAGATACATTGCTGAAGGAAATTGGGCCTTGGTTTGGTTTGGTTTGGTTTTTTAAGATTATTTTGGTGAGAGAGCAGGAGCAGGGGTAGGAGTAGGAGGAGAGAGAACCTCAGGCTGTCTCCCCATTGAGCACAGAGCCCAACACAATCCTGAGATCATAATCTGAGCCAAAACCAAGAGTTAAGATGTTCAACAGACTGAGCCACCCAGGCTCCCTTGGCCCTTAGTTTTAATTAATTGGCAATTTTGAGCGTCTCATTCTAAAAGCTCATAAAAGTAATAATAAAGCAGTATATGTCTTGGTCTTAGGTGGCCATAAACAAAACTACAGGCTGGTGTCAACAAACTTACTTCTCACAGTTCTCAAAGCTGTGAAGGCCAAGATCCAGATGCCAGCCAACTCCGTTTCTGATGAGAGCTCTTCCTGACTTGTAAATACCTGCCTTCTCATCATGCTTCCACATGGCAGAAAGAGGGGGAGTGGGGACAGGAAGAGAGGTAGGCAGAGAGAGCGTGCTTTCTGGTGTCTTATAGGGACGCTAATTGTATTGGGTTAGGGTTCTAACCTTACAACCTCGTTCAACCTTAATCACTTCTTTATTCCAAATATAGCACTCCCAACGAGGAGGGAGGTAGAATTCAACCTATGAATTTTTGTGTGTTGATGGGGCACAGTTCAGTCTTTAATAATATAGGAAGGCAATACAATTTAATGCAGCCTAAAATAACTGCTGGTTTACCGACACTGAGCTTTTAGGCAGCAACCTTAGTTGTTACGTGCTATATTTCATAATTATAAAAACGTGGAGTGAAGTCGACTTGAAATTTTGAGTGTAAGAGCTTTTTGGTTTCTGAGAAAAAATTAACTCTACATTGTTTTCTCTCAAGAACTGCAAGTATTAAATTTATTTTCAAAATATGGCTGCTATGATTGGTAAAATGGATACTCGGGTTTTTATAAAGTTCTTTTGTATATTACTCTCTTGTTTAAGCCTCAAACAATTCAGTAAGACATGGAAAAAAACTATTACCATTGTCAAGTGTCTTTTAGAGAGAAAGGTCCGAGAGGTTTGAAATGGAACAAACAGTATAATAGTAAAGAAATGGTTGGAGCGCCTGGGTGGTTCGGTGGGTTAAAGCCTCTGCCTTTGGCTCAGGTTATGATCCCAGGATCTTGGGATCAAGCCCCGCATCAGGCTTTCTGCTCCGCGGGGAGCCTGTTCCCCCCCACCCCGCTACCCACCTGCCTCTCTGCCTATTTGTGATCTCTATCAAATAAAAAAAAAATGATCAATAAATGTATTTCAGGGTGATTAACTGACTAGTATTTTTCAAACGTGGCTTAATAATTGATAGCAAACCCAGCAACTTCACTTGTAGAAGTTTATCCTGGAAATACAATAGAAAAGTATGCAAAATTTATAATATTGAAAAAAATAGGGAATGATGTGTATGTTCAGATATAAGGGCTTAGTTAAAAACATTAACAGGTAACCATTAGGAAAGAGTAAGCTCTATATCAATTGTGGAAAGCACCTAATGACATGTAGTAAGAATAAAAAGCCAGTTAACAGCAAATATATTAATACTTACTGTACATGTTTGTGTGTGTGTGTGTGGTTGTGTGTTTGCATGACTTTTCCCATCTAGAAAATGTATAGAAAATTACTTGGATATTTCCAAAATTAACAGTACATACTATATATCTGGGTGATAGCTTTTTTAAAAATTCCTTACTCTTTATATTTCTTTAGCATGTCATGTTCACAGCAAAAAAAAAGCCATATTACTTTTTTAAAACTAAAAACATTTCTGCAGAAATCTTGAACAAGATAGAGATGATAAGTGTTACCCATTATCCCACCATGCAGAGATGCCCTGAGAATGGGATATTTCCTTCTGGAAATTACTTTCAAATTTTCAAATTTAGGCCAAAACTATATATAAATTTCTGCTTTTTGTTCATTTGCAATTGTAATACAGACATTTATCCAAGTCATTTTTTCCTCAAAAAACATTTTTAACTGCTACATGTATTTCCCACTACATGAAACAGCTGTCAAAAATCACCACTTTTCACCTTGTAGTTTGCTTCTCAGCAATATCAGACACTATTGACTATCTCTTCTGTCCATGTTTCTACTGAAATATCAGTGAAGTCTGTCCTTGTCCCACCATACAAAAAAAGAAAAAGAAATGTGTTCTTCCCACCCACCTTTCCTGTTTCCCTGTTGAATTTGTTTGACTTCTCTCCATAAGAGTTATCACCAACTGATGTATATATATATCCTTGTTAAATTGAGTATTGTCTATTTCCTCTCTTCGCTTCCATGACATACCTTCTCCTGCTTTTTTTCCATTGGTCCTGACTACTTCTCTCACTGAAATTTGCTGGTTCCCTTAGGGCTCTGTCCCAGGCCCATTTTTCTCCTAACTTCAACTCCCATGGCTTCAATTACTACATATATGTGCCAACTGGACCTTTCTCCCAAGGGCCGGAGTCATGCCTATGAATAGAGCCTCCTGGGTGGCTTCACTCGGATTGTCCCGCAGGTGCTTTGATTTTAACTTGCTAAACACCGACTCTTACCTAATTTGTTTGGGTTTTTGTTCTTTTTTAAAATAACATTTCTGTATTTCTGGGATTTTTAAAAAGATTTTATTTATTTGACAGGCGGGGGAGCAGAACGGGGAGAGGGAAAAGCGGCTCTCTGCTGAGCAGGGAGCCTGATACAGGACTTGATCCCAGGACTCTAGGATCATGACCTGAACCTAATGTTTAACCAACTGAGCCACCAAGGCGTCCCAGGATTTTTTTCCCCCTAATCTCAGTAAATGGCACCACTCCACATTGTAGAAGTCCCCACGCGTTTCTGTTTCTGCATTGATCTCTGATCCCATCTACTCCCAACCCCAGAACTTCAGCCATTTTGGTCTTTTTTTTTTTTTTCCTGTTTTTAGAAAAATCCAGCTTCTTCCTACCTAAAAGTTTTTTAAGTTTTTTGCTATGGGCTTCCTTGGGAAAAACATTCCCCAAATTTTCTAAAACTGACTGTTATCATTCAGGTCAAAATTCGTATGTTTCATTTATCAGAGATGCAGCACCTAAACAACAAGCTACTGTTGGAGGCAGGGGTGGCGGGGGTGGGGTGGCACTCATGATATACATATATCACTTACCTCAAGGAGCCGTCAGTAACTTTACCTTCTGTAGCACCGTCAGGGCCCTGATTACCCTCTAGTAGCGTCATTTTCTTGCCTCTTTTCTTTTACAGTTTTATTTATTGAGGTGTAATTGACATACAATAAACTGCAACCAATTAACCAGTAAGCAGCACCACCGTTGTCTCAGTTGCTCATGTTAGAAACCTGGGTATCCTTCCTGACTACCGTTTTCCCTTACTCTTTATTTTGAGCAAATCATTAAACCCCACCTTCTAAATGTATCTCAAATCAGTTAACCTATTTCCGGTTCCTGGCATCATTTTAGGTCCAAGCCTGTATCATTTCTCACTTGTATTATGAAAATATGCCCGCTGGGTGCCTGGGTGGCTCAGTCATTAAGCATCTGCCTTCGGCTCAGGTCATGATCCCAGGATCCTGGGATGGAGCCCCTGATTGGGCTCCCTTCTCCACAGGAAGCTGGTTCTCCCTCTCCCACTCCCCCTGCTTGTGTTCCCTTTCTCACTATGTCCCTCTCTGTCAAAAAATAAATAAAATCTTAAAAAAAAAAAAAGCCTCTCTCAAGTTTATTCTTTATATACAATGTGAGTGATCTTTCTAAAATCGAAACCAAATTTAAGAGTTTAACTCTTAAGTAGATTTTCAGTAAAGTGTGTGTTTCTTAACATACTTCTCAAGGCCGTCTCCAGTCTCATCGCATGCCACATTCTGTTATAATCTATTAAAGTCATTCTGGCCTTTGGTATCTTGAACTCTCACACCATCTCTTCCTTCGGGAACGGAGTACCTTTGGAAATAGTGCTTTCTCACCACTGGAAATATTGATCTGCCTTCACTCCCTAACCACTCTTATAAGGTAATACACAATATTTATCCATTCATTCTCTATCGTAAGTACCCTAACTAGTCCCCCTTATAATACTTTTACTTTTCTTCTGTCTTTTTTTTTTTTTGTATTTGAATATACCTTTATGAAGCACAGACTAACTAGATTCGCCTTCTTCACGTTTTTGTCCTCATTACCTAATGTAGTACTTTGCACACAAGTCATTTAGTAAACACTTCATTCAAACATGGACTGGATTATCATTTAGCAATAATAAAGACAAATAAAAGAACATTTAAGGTCCCTTTCATCTTCATACAGTTATGGAAACATTGTCCCATATTTTATTATCAATATTCTCAGACTCAAATCAGTCCTCAGTGGTAATTAGAAGACAAAAGATCAGATCTTGACCCTGCAATGAGATTTTACCCAATGGCAAATAACAGAATACCAGTAAGTGAAAGGAAATACCTTATAATACTTTCTCTTTTGGCCTTTTAGCTTTCTAGTTTGTGTCTTAATTTGTATTTCACCATTTTCAAGTATTTTCAGTTGCTGTGTTCTCAAGTTTCTCACTTTTGTTTTCTTGCCAATTTCTAAATCCTTCTCACTAAATTATTTTTATTCTTCCTTTATGACAATTTTTTTCTGCTTTTCCTTTGCCTATCACTAAACAGTCATGTGGCATTAGTTAACAATCCTAATGTGATGGAACCTGATGTAGTGGGTATGGCAACTGGTATTCAGCATCCATTCCAGCTTCTTCCTAAAGGTGAAAGAAATTTTAAGGACTGGAAAGAGTTCTCTATTTCTTCTATCTCATATAGGATTCTGGATTCAAATTAATTTCCTTCAATTAGAGGGACTTGCC